TTATTATTATTATTATTATTATCACAGTTGACAATACTATTTTGTAGATAATTTATTTTGATTGAAAAAAATTTTTGCTCCAAAATATTATCAAAACGAATATTTCTGCCAAGCATAATTAATTATTATTGTAATAACTTTGAGCTAAGTATTAGTATACTGAAATTTAAATTTTCCATTGCGATTCTATTATTATCAGTTCAATTTTTTTTCTTGAATTTACAATTTTTAAAATAATCAAAGTGATCTAATTTTGGTGAAAATAGTCCAACTAATCAGCCATTATCACAAAATTCAATTGTATACTAACTTTTTTAGCTTTGAAAAATTTAAAATTTTTACTTAGAGAAGGTGTATTTCTGTTAAAATATTTGTTAGAGTTAGAAATTCGAAAACTGAAATAACAAACTTGTTTGAATTCGAATTATTCCTTGTCATTACGTATTAAAGAAAAGTGGACATTACAATCAGCTGGACAGTTTCTTCCTATGATTTACTGATCTAATAAAAATTATTATCGCTTCTGTGTTGTAGAAATGAACATTTAGAAATCACAGCCTTCGATATTACTTTTGCTGTTAATATGCAAATAATGAGCAGCAAATCTCACGGAAAAAATTTACTTTGTCTAATTTTTTCTCGTAATTTTTACTATATTATATCATAGCAGAAAATGGATCATTCATCTTTATTGTTGGTGCATAAATATCAAACTTACTTTTGTATTCTCAGTGACTAAGCATTTTAGCACTTTAGTTTTGTATTCTTAGTGACTAAGCATATGAGAAATATTTGTTCTACAAACTTGCAACTCAGAGGTGTGTGAGACGTGTTTTACGTGTAGTAGATGTCGCTTTTAAAAGTTGATATTCATAATTAATATATACAATTGCAATCTGCATGTTTAGCAAGTTTTATGTAAAGATATGGCATAAACTGTGCAAAAGCTATTTAGCTAATGAAATTTGCTTTGGAAGGGTATTTTGCAGATGTTAAAAAATCACGCAGTGAAAAATTTTTACACGTTGATTGCTTGCAAACACGTGCATATGCTCGTTAACGAGCGACGTGTTTGAATACGGACGGTACACACATACTGAGACAGGCAGACATGTGATGTACACGTATAGGTTTACAAACGGTATAGATGTTTGCATTTTCATTTTTAGTGCCATTGAAATAATTTTCGTGCTGAGCACAGCAATTGCTTTTTGCCTGTCTTCTCCGCTTACTTTTCTATCAAATATTTATAACAAAAAAAAATGAAAGTTTTACTTCTTGAAGTTATTATCTATACTTTTCATGCCAAAAAAAGTCATTTCATATTTGTAAATTATTAAAATTGATAGTCACAAATTCATTACTTTCTAAAACCCAAACGCCTTTTATTCGTAGTGAGAACTCATAGTTTTAGATCTATTAATTAATTAATTAATTATTATTATTATTAATATTATTATTATTATTATTATTATTATTATCAATTACTGTTGTTGTTCTTGTAGCTTATATTAATGACTAATCAGTATGACCGTATATGTTGTTTAATTTTTTTATTTATCTATAATCTACACTAATGTTAATATCAGACATATTTCCAGTAACATTCATGTTAGCATAGCAGTAGTAATTATTAATTCATTTAACCTTCGAAAATCAATCTTCGATCAGACATCAAAGTTTTAGAAAAAGTGTTCGACAATTGTAGTTATCCATGGATGACCTTCAAACAATTAGTAGTAATAGTTTTGAAGGAAAGTATTAAAACTGTCAAATACATAAAATCAATCAAATTGATAAGAAATCAAACATCATCTATTACTCAATAAATATTATTTTTTTGATAATTTTGCATAAAAATTAAAAATATTATTTTTGCGATAAAAAAAAGGAAAAAATGTCACTAAAAATTTAGCACACTTTTATGCGAAGTGTATTTATTTTTGTATTGAATGAATTGCGTTACCTTGAGAATATAAATATGAACGAGCAAGTGAAGTAAGTTCTTCTTCTTCTTCTTCTTCGAGAAAAGATTTTGTCAAGAAAATCTTTCATTGAAATTTTGTGCTTTTTTTTCGCGCAGAATATTTGCTGCGCGAAATAAATGAATGAGTGTGAATGAATGACTGACTGACTGACTGACTGACTGACTGACTGCATGAATGAATGAATAAGTCGAGAATTAGTTATTGAATTCAAGTAAGCAAAAAGAATTCATCGTTTGATGCAAAAAATTTTTTAAATTCCTACAAATAGCAATTCTTTCTGCTCATTTTATATGCAAATCCTTCTTTGTATTCAATTTGAATACATACATTTGATTCAGTGTAATTCCTTGCATTTATATGTTTTGTACTGATTGATTAGCAAGGAAATTGGATTTATCATTCACAAAATTAAGCTTAATTTAATATGCCAATTCAAGTGAAACTTCGCACTAGTATTGTTTCAAGCATTTGACATAATATTAATCTCAAATTTCGATTTGATAGATCAATTCGGGTCAATTTTTCAAGATAAATGAACAAAATGTTATAAACATATCATGTGTTTATGCAAATTATTAAATAATCTTTATTAAAAATCATTTATTTTGTAAATTAACTGAAAAAAACTCGAAATAAAAATAAGCTTTTAGACATTTTTATCAATAAAATATAATAAATTATTTGATATTATCACAAATTTTTGGGTGCATATTTGTATACATACTTATTATTTACATAATTTTCTTACTTACATGCTATTATTTGCATAATTTATATAAGGTTAGTGGTACTTTCCTAATTCACAATTTCACATACTGGCTGTGAAACTAATTATTTGTATGGTTTTTGTTATTCCTTTCAACACTTTTGAATCATTTTATGCAAATTTTGATTGACCTTTTACCAACTGTAATTGAAATAGCAACATTTAAACATACAAATTATTTAAGTGTTGTATAGAAATATTTTCATGATAATTTTACGATAATTTTTGCGTACTAAAAATTACAACTTTTTGTTTTGCTAATATTATTTGAATATTTTTTGTACAAAAATATTTGCATAAAAATGAGGTAAAAAATAGCTACCGTAACAGTTTGCTTATTTTTTATCTATTACACGATTGAATTTTGTTCGAAAATAAAATGACTGTCAGAAAGAAAACATTCACAAATTGCAGAATAATAAATTTGTAAGTATATTTTCACGTAAGCATTGTTAAGACCTTAAGTGAAATATCAAGAAATGATGGATACGCATTAAGATTTTTTACTTCTCAACAAGTTTAGATGTGTAATGGTCGTACGAAGAAGTGAGGGTATTGCTTGGTTGGTTTTGCCAAGTTAAAGTAATACAATACAATACAATACAAAAAACTTAATTGTAATGTATTGATGGGTCTAGCAGATTGTTGCACACTAATTGTTTTTCATTTCTGTACACTCTGTATGTACGTGTGTGTGTGCGTGTGTGTGCTTATGTGTGCGTATGTGTGAGCGTGTGCATGTGCGTATGTGTGCGTGTATGTGTGCGTGTATGTGCGCGTATGCGTGTGCAAGTGTATGATGCTTGTTTGTTAATGTTTTATAAAGATTTTCAGTTTGCACCAATAATTTCTCTGATAATTGCTGCAATCGTTTAAGAAAAAAAGTGCCTGAAATGAATGTGTTTTCAATAATATTTTTAGAGCGTTTCTCGACGGTATTATTTAATGACATTTTATTTTCATACGTTTATTCTATAATGTTTGCACGTATCTATCTACATGTGTATGTGTGCGTACGCGCATATATGTTTATATGTACGTTGTGTACGCACACAATTGTTTTTCATTTCTGTACATTGTGTATGTGCGTGTGTGTGAGCGTGTGTACGTGTGTGCATGTGTGCGTATGCGTGTGCATGTGTATGTAATTAACTAAGATAATCTTGTAATTAACTAAGATATAGAGATTATTAGCTATTTTCTACAAAATTAAATTATACATTGTAGGGATATTAAGTTTGAATTACAATATTTTAAGCATTTATGGCGATTCTAAGTTGGAATTTTTAATTTGCTATTTGAAATTTGCGTGTTATACACTCCACAAATTTGTAATTTTATAATTAATTAAAATCTTTGTTAGATAGTCCACGTTTGTAAATCGTTAGCGAATTGTTAAAAAATGAAAAACTGAGCTGAAACATTTTTATTTGAAGTAATTAATGTAGTGTACGTGTTGGAAGATAAACTAGTTTAGCACCAGCAGCAGTTTAATTTGGCAGAAAGTGTAATCACTGTTTTTTAAATGGCGTAAGTTCAATTTTCGATACTTGTTTCGAGTATTAATTAATCCAAGAGTTGTCTTGAAATCTGCAGAAAACTTGAAAGGTTGGAAATATTTCATAGCTTGATAACTTAGACTGTGCTAACGTCAGTGTTTTATCCCACGTAATAAAGAAATTTAATTAGTGTAAAGCACATTTCAATATATTAAATTCCGATATGCTAATTTTATTCTCATTGACTTTTGTCTCTTTCGAAAATAAGTAAGTATTCAATACATTGATGAATCTGAAAAATTAAACGTTCATCAAAGTACTGAATGCTTACTGCAACAAATTTATTGCAATAAATAAACAATTTCACTAAAAGTTATGCAAAAGTTGCTAAATTATTGTATCGAAAGCTGTTTGACTGGTATCGTAGTAGATTTTGACTGATTTTTTGTTCATTAGTCAATACTTTCCTTTGGATCGAAATTGAGTCAGTATTGATTATTATTTAAAAATCTAAAATTATACAGTATTGAAAAAAGAAAATTAGTAACTGCTTTCAAATATTTCAGAAGTTAATTCGAAGTTTCAGAAGCAACTATTGCTGGTTTTTCCTCTTCTCAGAATTAATAGTTCCAAAGTGGATTCTCCATTATGTGGATGTTATTCTATTCCTGACGTTATAAATATGTGAAGATATTATATGTAAATGTAATAAATTACTTGTAACTATCAATTAATCAAAAACAGTAGACAAAATTATTAAAAAATACAAGTATTCTATGATGATTAGATGAAAAATATTTGCGCATTTTTGCTTGATCTGATCTGATATGATCTGATCTGCTGATGACCATTAGTGCTAGTAATAGCATTTAAGAGTACATTTATATTTCACGTCGTAAAAATATTAAATCGATGCAGAAATTCTGGTTTCGATAATATATTAAATCAAGTAGTGATTCATCTTTCACCATCACATCTATTATAAATGGAGATTTTTAATAAATTTTGTATTCTCATTAAATGTCGACATTTGAATAAGGTCAATAATAATAGCGGATTAAGTAAAATCCATTCATACATTCTCTCATTGGTTCCTTAGTTGAACAAAATCGTCAATACAGTTATTATTCTATAAATTTTCAAAGTTCTCGTTTTTAGAACAATTTTGACGTGTTCATTTTATTGTCTTGAATAAATTTTGTTATTTCGAAGAAGTGATTTTTGTACTGTCCCACAAAAAACAGTTAAGACTAAAAGTGAATATATGTCATCTTATAACTTAATCTAAACTTTTTATTTATTTGAAGTAATTTTTTAGCAAATCAGTTAAGCAAACAGCCATTCACAGCAAGATAAGTTTATTTCAAGTCTGATAAGAGACTTATTGTGATTTGCATTATCCATCTGATCTTCGATACTTGATATCCAATAATCAAATTTTGCAAATTATAGTGCGTTGTCACTTCTGGAGGCCCGTCTTCGGGCCTTCGCTCCAGATGTTGGTGTTCCGGCTGGCGCTTGTCGCTTACAGTTGCTAGACGGAGCGTTTTTTTTATCTGATATAAAAATCGCTGAAATAGTCAAAGAATCGGACAAAAACAAGTATGTTGTAGCTAATAAATTTTGTTCTGCATAATTTCAGATATATTCTCAAAGATACTTTGATTTTGACTATAATTTATCATTAATGTTATCATCAGATCAAATTTTGACCAAAGTCAATTAAAATATATAATTGTAATTCTATCAAAGATTTGCTCATTTTTGCAATTTTATATTGTTAACTTAGATGAGTAATAAAATAATTGTAACGTAAATTAAGCTTTTATAATTACTAAATTATTTTATATGCAAATAAACTCACT